GTATGTTTGTGGAGCATGCAGTGATAGTTTCCTGGCTAGGCTCCTACACACCATTAGAGACTGCCAAACTTGAGTCTTTATTTTTGTATATATATATATATATATAGCTCTTCACTGTAGTAATCCTGAGAGTACTTGTTTATTTACTTGCTGCAAATAGTGCTGCTCTGAATACACTTGTCTTTATCTGTGTGTATGTTTCTGATTGTTTTTCTCAGGTATAACCTTGCATTGGAATTGTTGCAGCATAGCAAATACATGCATTACACTTTGGCCCTTTTCAAGCCCTAAAGTGGTTATATCAATGCACACTCCTACTAACAATGAATTAAGGATCTCCTTTTGTGCAGCCACCCTTGATAAGGTTTAATATTTACAAGTTTAGTGGGTTTGAAGTAGTCTTTTGTGGTTTGAATTTGCATTTCCTTGATTACTAGTAAGATTAGCCATTTGTGTTTCCTCTTCTGTGAATTTCCTGTTTATCTAAATTGCCTGTTTTTCTGTTTTTGTTTGTTTGTTGGTTAGTTGGTTTTGTATTTTGTTAACTGATTTTTAGAATTTCTTTCTAAATCTGAACCTTTTCATTAATTGCATGGTTGGAAGACCTCTGCCAGTCTATGATTATACATTGGTATTTTCTATGATACATTTCATTGAACAGAATTTTTAAAGCTTTTAACATATTAATACTAGAAGTTTTCTATTTTCTACTTATCATTTGTGCTTTTGTGTTTTATTTAAGTCATACTTTTAGTATAGAGACCATGGCGTTCATTTTAAGTAAAGTCATGAAATACCTTATTTTCTCCTAAAACATCTGCAATTTTGCTTTTTTACATTAAATTTTGTACTCTACTGGATGTAGGTTTCTATTGTGTATATTGTGAGGTTGGGATCTAAGGCACATAATTTTTAAAAACTAGATAAGGAAAATTTCGTGTAGCTGCTGTGCCTTCTTTCTGTAGCATCTGTGGCATCAGCTCCTGTCTGTATGTAAGCATGGCTCTGTTTTGTTCCAGGCATAGTGAGTGGAGCGGTGCTACTGAATCACTTTCCATGGTTTTCTAATATGTTCTAATACGTTCTTCGACATTGTCTTCTTGCCCTTGTCCTTGCCATTTTGGACCTTTTCTCATCCATGTCTACATTTTAAAATATCTTTCTCAAGTATGGTTCATGGAAAGTATTTCAGGATTTTGACTGGGATTTCTTGATTTATACAATATTTTAGGACATATACACATGTTTATAATGTTGAGTCTTATAGATGAACATAATACAATTTCCTATTTAAGCATTATAGTTAATATTTATGATTTTATCCAACATCTCTTAGGCCACTTTTCTGGCACAATTTATTGAAGAGGCTTTGCTTTCATCATCACATTGTTTGCTTTTGTTGCTTTTTCAAAAAGTTAATGATAGTGTAAGTATAGGTCTGCTTTGGGGCTTCCTATTCTGTTTTTATTATCTGTCTGTTCTCAGGTTTATAACACATAGTCTTCATTACTCCAGCTACATAGTAACTCTTATACCCAGGTGGTGTAACTCTTCCAAGTTTGTTGTTCCTTTTAAGATAGATCTGAGTATTGTAGTTGCTTTGTATATCCATGTATACTTTAGAATTAGGGTGTTGGTTTCTAGATTGAAGCATGCTAGCTAAGGTTTATGATAAGAGTTATATCAAATCTGTATATCAAGTTTGGGAGAATTAACATTCTGCTGATACTGAGTCTTCATTTCCTGACAGTGCTGTATCTCTTCATTTATTTAAGTTTTTCATTTCTTCCTTGTTTTGTAGTTTTTGATGTGAAGCTATTGCACATTTTTTGTTACGTATTTTTGTCAATATTTTATGTTTGTTTAATACTGTTGTAAATAAATGGTCTCTTAATTTGTTTTTCATTTTGCCATTACATGCTCCTAGTATGTAAACAAATTGATACGAGGACCATACGTCATGTGACCTTGCTCAATTCAGTTTTAAATTCTAGTTGTTGAAAAAAATGAATTCTTTGGAATTTTCAATGTAAATATCCCTTCACCCATGCATCAACACAGTATTTTGTTCTTTTTTAGTCTTCGCTTGCCTTACTGCACATTGGTGGAGCACCTCTAGTAGAGTGTTTAAGAGACTTGATGATAGCAGACATTCTGGCTTTGTTCTGGCAAGTAAAATAGAAGCTCTAGGTTTTTGCAGGTTTTTTTTCTTGTAATCACATTATGGCAATCTCTTTGTATCTCCAGTTTGAGAATTTTGTCAAATATCTTTTCTCTATTGAAGCCCCACTTGGTCAAGTTTAATCATCCTTTTTATTTACTAGTATTTTGTCTACAGTTTTACATCTGTGTTCATGCTGGACCTAAGGCTGTAATTTTCTTCCTTTTCTTCTCTCCCCTCCCTTTCCTCTTACTCTTCTTCACCCATTCCTTATTTTACTAGTAACTATGATTAGTAGCAAATATTTTCTCTGTGTCTATTGAGATTTTATATAGCTTTTCTCCTGTATTTTAAGTGATAAGTTATTACAACATGTTGCAATTTAAAACTGCTTATACATTTCTGGGAAAATCTAACTTGATTATTTCATTTTTTTAATATTACTGATTTTCTTTTGTTAATATATCCATGAATAAAATAGACCTGTAATTTTTTCCCCCGGGTTTTGTTTTCAAGGTTACTCTAGCTATATACATGAATTTGAGAGTGTTTCCTTTTTTTCTATTCTTCTGCATAGAATTGCCATAATGGAAAGAAAAAGCAAAACACTTAAGAGCTTCTATTTTACTTGCTAAAACAAAGTCAGAATGTCTGTTCTCATCATTCTTATTAAACATTGCATTAGTGGTGTTCCTCTAATAGCGTTAGTTAGTGGGCAGAACTCATTTGAACTGTCTTGTCATCCTGCACAGGGCTGTGGGTAGGTAGACAGGAGGGGAAAGGACTTCATCTTTTAAATATGCATAGTACCACTTACATTTTTCTTCTTGTTTTTTCATTTTTGGATTTTAAAAATATTTGGCTTAGTAGAAGATAGCTGTATTCTCATGTATACGTCTGCATTCTATCTGCTGCTCTGTGTTCTTTTACTTTTGTTTCTTCTTGATTCAGGTTGGCCAAGTTATGTTTCTTTTTTCTTTGTAGGTGCATTTAAGTTTTGTTTTCCAAAAAAATTTTTTTTTTGTCTTTGAAGTTTCAGACTTTGTGGCAAAAAGTTGTTATACCTCTTGTGAACTGAATATAGTTATCATATATGCCTGTTATCTTGTAATAATAAAGTTACTTGTAAAAACATTAAACTTCTTTTATTGTAGCTATTTTACTCTGCCTACTCTACTCTGTCAAATGCTTCAAATGAGTGCTGTGGGCTCTTTTTTCTTCTCTCCGGGTTGTGGCCAGAGTCAACAGAGGCCACCTAAATCCATTGGACTCCTCTTATTTCTTACTCCTTAAAGGATTTAAGGATTTCCTTTACTCTTCCCAGGATTTTTTACTTGGCCCTCTTCTAATTCCATGATACCCACTCTCTGTAGCTTTAACCACTGTTGATTGACGGCTCCCAGTTCTGCAGTACTCCTGAGCTATAGAATTAAATAGTACCAATAACGATAGAGTGAAAAAACGTAGCTGCCTCTTATCAAGTGCTAGTGATACGTCAGATACTGTGTACTTAACCTCTGTTTTAGCATTTCATTCCCATAGTAATTCTCCAGATTCTCTTTGTAGATGAAGAAATGGAAGGTTAAAGAGATTGTTTTATCAAAGATCATGGAACTAGTAAAAGTTAGATCCTGATGCTGACTCTGAAGCTACTTTAGTTGAGTGTTTTAGATCCTCTTTATTTGTGAACTTAGGTTACTCATAATGAGTCCTATTTCATCCATAGCCATCTTTACAAAGTGGAAATTAGATTCTGTTTATTTCCTTATTTGAAAACCTCAAGTAGTTCCTCAAGGTGTGGTTCAGCTGCCTTAGCTTAGGAGACTCTTCATGATCCTCTTTCTACACTTCCTGTCCCTTCCGGCCTTACCCTCTACTTGAACAATACATCCATACTAATCACTCTGTAGGTGCAGTGTTTGTACATGTTACTTCTAGGACAGCCCACTCCTGCCTTTCTACATCTTTATAATGAAGATGATAGTACTTACATCACAGTTATGAAGATTGCACAGGGATTTGTTTTAACAGTTTTATAAATACAATTATTATATGTGGTGATGGTGATATTACCATGAACAACTCTCATACCTCCTTGATTGTAAGAGTGCAATCTAAGTTAGGGACAAAAATCAGACTCAGACTCAAATAATTGGAAAATTTATATTTAAAAGAATAGCAGAAGTAGTGCTGGCTCCAGATGTGTCATGATCAGTGGTTCAAAGTGTCTTCCAGGATATTTATCCTACTTCTCTATTCTACTCTTTCCATGTGGGTCATCCTAATACTGACTCCTTTGTAGGTCCAGAAGGCAGCCAGTAGCAGTGGAAGTACGTGTTTCCTTATTCACATTCTGCAGAAGAAAAAGGGCTTCCTTTTCCTTTTCACTTAGAACAAGACACCTTGCTTTTTCTTGGTTTCTGTTGGTCTAGGTTTGCCACTGTGAACCAGGCTGTGAAGTGATTATCATGATCCTTTAAATCAAGGTTAGCACTGCTGGCCATACAGTCATTATTGTAGCTACTCAGCTATGCTGTTAAAGCCTAAAAGTAGCCATGAACAGTAGGGTCAGCAGATGAGTATAACTGCATGCCAATAAAATTTTTTTATAGGCAATGAAACGTGAATTTCATATAATTGTCTCATGAAATTTCTTTTTTGTTATCTTTTAAACTGTTAATAAATATAGAAGCATGCTTAGTACCAGGTCCTGACCAAATTAAAAAAGAACAAAACCCAGGAGGTCAGCCAAAGCTTATTCACCCTAGTTTAGAGTAATTGCCTGCACTGAGATTATGTGATACAGATAAACACTGTGTTTTGTTGTCTTTTTATCTCTAGTGCTGAAATGGCTGCCTGAACATGGTAAGTACTCAATAGTCAATGCATGTGGGCCTCAAGTGTCAAAGTAGGTGTTCAGTACACAAAAAGGTACTCTTAACATTGGGATGGACAGACACAGATAACTGTTTCATTTTTTCTAGCCCGAAAGGGCATTGAGGTGAGGCATAGCTGTACTTTTGTGTCTTATACATTGTCTTGGTTGTAATAAGCCCTCAAAATTGATGTGTTGCATGGGTGGATTTTTTTTTAGGTTATATTACAGGCAAGAAGATAAAAGTCCCATTGATGCTTAGAAGTCTCATAACTGAATAAACAGAATTATTAGGACCGTTTATAGTTCATTGATGAAGAGAGTTGTTAGATAGGTCAAGTCCATCAAGTATCAGATACTGTTCAGGCACAGTGCAGCAAGTTTTTTTGGCATTACATCCATAGGAAGCTATTTTACACCATAATGGGCTATACTCTTCAATTTGTAGTTAGCTAATTGCAGTTGGGAAGAAGCAAATAAACTCTGATTATTTTGTAAGATTTCACCTTTCCCTTTATTTTTAAACATGACTCAAGAATGGGCTAAATTTACTTAAGTGAATAATGAAGTGTGGAGTAAATTTTTCTAACCCCTTTTTTGGTTTTAGATTTTAAAATTTCTTTGTAAGAATTATGACTATTTCCTCTTTGACTTAATACTAAGATTTCTAGTTTTCATTACAAGATGCCAAAATAGGAAATGAGCAGTTTAAATGTTTATAAAGAAAAATTTGGAACTTTGTGCCCAAGAATACTGTATATTTAAAATTCAAGATTATGATTATTTCTAAATGATTATTTGTATCCGTTTGTCCCATATACCTTTGGTACAGTGCTTGCTAAAGTTAATAACTTTTTCCTATTTTGTCCAGGATTGTAAGGTAACTGCCTCTTTTGGTCAACGTTGTAGCACAGAGCAGGGATTTAGAGAATTTGTTGAGTGAATGAATATTCAAGTGCTTCACTGTGGAAGCCACTTAAAATATACTAACCTAGGATTTTTATTTGTCTTAAAACTTATGTTGGCCTTACAGAACTGAAAGTTTCTTGTTTTGATGATCTGAATTTTACATTGGCCAGAAACTTTCTGTTGAAAACTACTTTTATCTAGAGTGGTATTAAAAATGTTTAACCACTGCTACTGGAGAGGCACAACCTGGGCAGGATAATGCTCACAAAATACACTTGTGCTTTCTGCTTGAGCATTAATTAGCATGTTTGTAATTTGCAGAAAGATCGAAGATATTAATTAGCTTTGTAGCTACTCAAGTGTTTTGGGGTCTTAGAGCAAAATGAGTCAGAGTAGGATAAGGAGCATCTCTGAACATGGTGGTGACATGGACTATCCCTTTGGTTTTAAATTGGGATGCAGTTAATGGAAGGAGCACAAATCAGAAATGTGGGACCTTGCCCAAAGAGTCAAAACCACATGTGTGTGTGTTTGTTTTAAAATCTTCTATGCAGAAGAAAGGGAAATTCTGCCTAGTGCTTAAGTACTGAAAACACATATTCTCCTAAGTTTCACGCATGGTATGTTCACAGGCCACAAAATTCTGGTCTAAAGAAAGTTGGGGGTGTGGAGAGAGAACATTTTGTTCTTCAATGCTTAGGGGTTTTACAAATTTGGATAATTGTAATGCATACACATTCCTCAGAAGAAGTGATAACTTAAAGGGATGGGACAAAGGATTAATACATGACATTTTCTGATTAAACTAAAAAAGATGTTACTTTGAGATAAATGAGTAATGGCGCATTACTTTGAATTAAATTTGAAGTTAATCTTTAGTTATTAGTAGTCAATTTTATTGATATCAGAATAACGTGATTCCATTTTATTATAAAAATAAATATTCTAGATATACTAGATGCATTTTGTCATTGAATTGGGGTCAAAGTAGTTTCTATTTATATTACATTTTTGAGAAATAAGATGTAAAATATGCAGTGAGATTAACGAGACTGGATATGGCGTAGATTGAGACTTTCCAAAAATCTCAAAAACCACAACTCCAGCTAATGCTTTCATATTTCACCTTTAGGGATCTTTGAAAATCAGAAGACATAGAAGCAAAGACACTGAAGGAACAAATGTCTCATTTTTATTAGGGAAAGAAAGGTAAATTCAGAGCAACTATAAACTGATGTCTTATGACAATCCTAGGCAAATTCTAGAAATAAAAGTTATTAAGCACTTAGAAAAGAAAGCCTATAAGAGACACTGCAGGTTTACTGAGTACAGGATGCTTTAAAAACAATTGAATTATACATCTTGATAAGCTTTGTAGACTGGTCAGGCTACATTCTTTTCATTTTTTTTGCCTTTGCCAAGGTATTTAACAGCATCTCTAAAAATCTTACTCCTCCAAAAGATGGAGCAGCATGTGCACAGTTTGAATCACAGGTGATGTGGAGCTGTATCCGAAGAGTGCTGATTGAATGGGTGGTGTGAGTGAGCAAGTTGCAAGGGAAACTTGTTTAGTTAATGCCTATCGAGGGAATCCAGTGCCAGGAAGGAAGGAGATTCTGTGCAAAAAAATGACCCAGGCTGAGAATATGTTTAGCAAAGTTTTGCAAAGTAAATTCATCGCAGAGGGTAAGCTAAAAGAGGTTTGAAGTAGATATTTATAGTTTTTTCAAAGGCTGAGGTTTTTATTTTGGTGGGTGATTTTTTTGGCTTGCAGTCTCAGGAAGTCGCCTACATCATGTCTGACCAACAAAGCTACTTCTCCTTCAAAAGGTAATACTATTACTGACCAGAGTGAGAGGTCAGGGAGTGGAAATTCGGCCTGCTTTGGGGGACCACGTGAGGAATGGTAGCTTCGAGTTGAGGTGCTGTGTGTTATGGGCAGTGCTGGAGGTGGCAGATATAGGACATTGTATTGTGAGGGAGGGTGAACACCCTCTTCATGACCAGCTGGAAGCAAGAGAGGCCTTCTAGGACCATCACCATCTCTAGGTGTCCGAATGGCCTCCTTGGAGCATAGGACTTAAATTTAATCTTCTGGTTGAATTTGGGGCGACATATAGCCATCTAGTTGAGAATGTCCAGCAAGCAGCTGGAGGTATGGGAGCAGAACTTGCAGGTAGCAAATGTCAGTGGAGATAGGTTCCCTTTGGTTTTTATTGTTTGAAACCAGAGGTAGGATTGGTGTCATTTCAGGTCTGGTTTAAAAGGTTGGCCTTTGACCTTTATCTTTTTAGAAAACCCAGTCTATGACTGTTTTTATTTTATATATTTTTGAACTTTTTGTTTTGAAATTTTAAACCTATGTAACAGCAAAAAGATAAGTACATTGAGACTGTCATAATCTTTATGGGTATTTTCCAGCTCTCAGCATTTTGCTGTGTTTGATTTTTCTTTCTTCTACCCTCCGATCGCCACTTCCCTCTTGGCTTTCTTCCTCTGTCATGGAAGTACACTGTAGTGGTCCTGACAGCTTAACTCTCCTGCCCTTGCCATGTGTCTCCTGCGACCGAGGGAGTTCTCTTGCGTAACCACAGTGGCCTGCTGAAACCCAGCGCCTCTAACATCTGTACGGTCTTTTCTCAGCGCACAGCACATTCAGGTTTCCCTCACTCTTTCTAGAAGCATTCCTAAAATTTGCAAGTTTTTTTTTTTTTAACTTATCCACTATCCAATTAGGAATGAACCTGGGAAATTTTTAACCTTTAAAAGAAGGACTCTGGAGAGTCTGACTCTTAAGGCCTAGAGATAGAGCTGTATTTTTCTCCTAGCTTTTTAATTTGAAAAATTCAAGGCTTCAAATATAGTTACAAGTGACACACACAAGGAACATACTTCTCTTCATTTAAATTCACTAGTTGTTAATATGTTACTCTTTTCATTGTCTCTTTTTTTGACTCCTTTGTTTTTGACAGTTCAAATCAAGATATTTTACTCCTAAAATTTTCAGAATGTTTTTCCTTTGAACAAGGGTATGCTCTGTATAGCACAAAGAAGTCATTATAATCAGTTAATTTAGATTAAGGTCTACTCTTTCCTAACATAAAAATGCATATTCAAATTTTCTTAATTTTATTAGTATCTTGAAACTGCCCCTTCATTTAGCCTTGAATTCTTGATATTCTCTTCTATAAAGATTTTAAAAAGGTTTTTATTAAAATACTTCTCTGCCTAAAATCTCACAGATAAACTATATATCTTCCTCTATGATGTTGCGTTTGTGATTTTTCTAAAGATTTTTATGAGATGGATAGTATCTGAAATTCACAGTACAGTGAGACTTTTTGATTTTCTTTTCCCATTGCAGTTGTCTGGCAATTTAATTTTAGGGGTCAAGCTATTGTGAATTAAAATCATAAAGCTTTAGAAGAGATGAGAGATAATATGTGCTTCACCTATTCATTTTTTTCTTTCTACTGAGATCCAAAAACAGAAAGCTTACCACAAAGTGACCACTGATTCCAACTCACAGAATTTTCCCTGTATTCTAGTAGAGGAGAGAACATTAGATGGAGTAAGAATTTTTTGGTGGGGAGGAGAGAGGGGAAACAAAATATGTCTACATGCATACTTTTATGGGAAGAAAACAGCTGTCACAAAATGTAAATACTTGGTAATTCAGGTATAGGGCAGACCAGTCCTTCTTTATATCTGGTTTTTTTTTTTTTTTGCTGTATGTAAGTTTACAAGTTTCAGAATAAAACTTTGGGGGAAATAGGGCAAAAAGCACAAATTAGTTTGGATTTTGTCAGTTCAATTTGAGGGGAAAGGCACTATCTTACAACATTTTCATAACTTAGGTAATAAAAATATTCTACAAAATTATTACAAGTTCTTTAAACCTGGTGATATCCACCATAGAGAGACATTTAGTTGACACTCTGGCCTCTGATTTTGAGGCCTTACTCCCCCTGGCACCCTTTTTCAGCCTTAACAAGACTTCTGCCAATGATTATATTTCATGGATCCAATAAGTTTGTATGGTAAGTCCTGAAGTAGTTGTCACATTTCAGAATGTGAAACATGGAAATCCTGTTAAGCTTTAATCCTGAGTAATTTGGTGATGTTCATAAAAATATGAAATTCATACATTCATCATCATCAAAATTAAGAGACTTACCCATCAGAAGATGCCATTGAGAAGACGAATAGAAAAACCACAGACTGGAAGAATTTTTTTCGTCTGTTTTTTTTTTTTTTGGCAGTACTTGAGGTTTGAGCTCAGTGTCTTGTGCTCTGTAGGCAAGCACTCTACTGTTTGACCCATACCTCCAGCCCAGGAGAAAATTTTATAACATATGTATCTGTTAAAGGACAGGTATCTAGAAAATAAAAAGAACTCTGGCATTTCGATTAAAAATAGGCAAATGTGCAAAAGATTCGAACAGATAGTTCACAAAAGAAGAGAAATTAATATGCAAAAAATGTGTTCAGCACCATTGGTGCTCCAGGGGAGGACAGTTAAAACTACATTGAGATCCCACTGCACACTCATCAGAATGGCTTAAATTAAAAGACTGACAACATTAACTATTGAGAAAGTGGTTGAGCAAGAGAACTCATGAGTTCTTAATGAGTAGGGTAAATGACACAACCACTTTGGGAAAAGGTCTGGAAGACTTTAGTACATTTAGAATGCATATGTACCTATACACTATGACCCAGCAATTCCACTTCTACATATTTATTTAAGACAAGTGCAGGCATGTTCAGTTATCCCTCAGTATCTATGGAAGAATGGTTCTGAGTTTCTGCAGAAACTCAAGTTCCATATATAAAATGGTGTATTATTTGCATATAATCTATTCATATCCTGCCACATGCTCTAAATCATCTCTAGATTACTTATAATACCTCATATGATGAAAGTGCTGTGTAAATTTTTGTTAGATTGTATTGTTTAGGGAATAATGACAGAAAAAAGTCTGTACAAATTTAGTACAGTCACAAGCATCATAGGCCTAAATGCATTTTCCATCTTTAGTTGGTTGAATCTATAGATGGGAAATCTGTGGGTACAGAGAGCCAGCTGCTCACAGGAGTCTTGTACATGAACAGTCCTAGGAATCTTACTCATTAATAAAACAAAAGGGGAGCGGAATGAATAGACTTCGATATACTCTGTACGTCACTTGTGTATACTCGTATGCATACAACAGTGTTACCTATCACAGGAAAGGAATAATTGCTGTTGCAGATAGAAGGAGTGATGAGAGTATAAAGCAAACACAAACCAAAAGACATTGTGTGATGCCAATTTTATGAAACTCTAGGAAGGTAAAACTAATCTACGTTGAATTTTCTTTTTTAAATGCTGAATAATGGGGCCATGTCCAAGGGTAGGATAGAATGAGATGGGAACAGCCATGAGGGAAGGCATCTAAGTGGTCACTTAATGTTCTAGATCTTGATATAAGTACTGGGGCATACGTTTGTTAAAACCCAGAGAATGTACACTTAAAATTAACACATTTCATTTTATGTGAATTGTTCGTTAGAAACGGTAAAAAATGTTGAGCTATAGTTTATGATGTGCAAGCTGAAATATATTGGGGATGTGGACTGATACCTACAATTTACTTTCAAATGCGTTATACAAATAAGATGGATTAAAGGATGAATATAGAGGAATGAATAGATATGCCATAAACAATCAAATAGACTGTTAATAGTGCAATCTAAGTGATAAACAGATACTGTAAAATTCTTTCAGCTTTATTATATATTTTTAAATTTTTATAATAAAGCATAGGGGAAATGCTCATATATACGTCATGAGATAGCCATTTTTCTGGGTCATATACTGGCCATTTCCTATGGTTGAGCCTAACATGCAAAAGCTTATCGTGTTGCCATTTTATTTAGCCATCTCTGTCTGACTGGATATTAATACAATGTTCCTTCACTTTACTCCAGTCATTGTGCTTAGAGGGACAAAATTAAGCTTCTGTTTTCCCTGAGCAGCAGAGACTCTTTCCATCTGTGGGACGGATTCTTTAACATCCTAGTCATTCTCTGTTTTTAAGTCTGCCTGGTTTGGCTCCAGTGCAGATGTTCTGTCTCCTTTTGGAGGCAGGGCCAGGAGGGCTTTCCAAGAGAATGATCAAGTTGCCTCCCTTGGTCTGCCTTTGGGGCGTGAACTCCTTGCCTCTTCTAAGCTCTGGCTTCCCAGGAGTGCCTGAGCAAGGAGAGCAAGAGACGGAAAGACCTCTGCCCTCACAGACTTCTGCAGAGTCTTCTCTGTCAGTTGGTAAGATTGGCAGACATGTTGCCCACAAGTGACAGGTGTCCAAGAGTTGCCTTGGAGTTCTTTGGAAGGCGAGGTGAAGACCTTCCCCATGGCACATAACTTCCTCTAACCTCCCTGGGGCCCATTCCTGACAGAATGTCCCAATACTTGTGTTTCTGTGGATCCCTTACACAGCAGTCAGTCCTTTAGAGTGGGGTACTGGCAAGATTGAAACCATGGTACTTCTTTGCTACCTACTTAGATCCATGGGGAGCTGCCATCTTTCTGGGAGTTGAGGCTGCTTTGTAGCTGTGGTGTTTTCCTGGCCACCTTCCCTGCCCAGTTCTCAGTTTCTGCTCAAGCACAGGATGGGCAATCAAGTCTGTTGCCTGAGTAGCTGTCCCCTGGGGGACAAGAAATCAGTTTTTCCATAGGCCCCCTTGATCTGAGCGGAATTCTTTCCCAGCATATCTCTCTCCCTCCCTCCCCTTTTCTCATTTGGCATATCTTACTCTCTTCTCATTTTGTGTTATCTTACTAAAAT